CTGGTGTGTCTTATCAGCGCTCACAGTATGTATTGTTGTATTTTCTCCAGAAAAGCACTAGACACACAGGATGGTTCTGAAATAATGAAAATATTCTTCTTCTTTTTTGCAATAATGGAGAAATTTAAGTAACAAAGCTTTTACATCACAATACACCTCAATTCAAAGCAAATCCCTGGAAATCATGTTTCTCCCTGAATAACTACATGCAGAGGTAGACGGGTGCACAGACAAACTAACAGACGGATAAACAGACAGGCCGAGAGACAGCTAAAGACACACACACACGTACTGTCTATGAAGAGAAACATAGATTGACAAACTAGGATAGCACCAAATAACCACATCACAAGCAGGAAATGCAGGTTGCCAACATCTTTAAAGTTAACTCTTTATTGCGGTCTGTGAGAATTCCCCACAAAACATAGTTCTATGTATGTAAGAAGAGAGATGTCTGCTCTGAAATCATCAACACAAAAGATGAAATAACCCACAGTCAGAACTGATGTTCACCATAATTCATATATTCCTATTCCTTCATGTATTCTTAAAACCAAAGGTAAGTTGTAGAAAAGGCAATTTCAGGCAAAGCTATTCTTTGTTAAAGGTACACACACAAATGTATGGTACCACATTCTAACAAAACAGCCTTTATACGTTTATGAATAGTTGAACATTATAACTAAAAGCGTTAATTGTTGATAAATCCCCATGAACACACCAATATGGTCTAGTAGTGGAACCGGGGATCAAACAACCGATCCTCTGATTGAAGGAGGACCCGCTCTAACACTGAGCCACAGTCGCCCTTATATAATTATCTGTGATGTGTGTGAGTGTGTGTCTGTGTGTGAAGGCAATTAAATCCAGCACGGCAATAGCAGACTCACTCCGCCAGTAAACAATAAACAGATATACATGAGAGAGACAGGTACATAGAGACTGAAACGACAGACAAGACCTCAGTTAAACTTAGTAACCATGCAACTAACCTTACTGGCCTGCTGCAGGCTCGTAATTATTTTTCACCAATCATGGGTCTGTGCGAGTCACCTCATTGTGGCATTGTATCCCAGAAGGCAGTTTGAAGGGGAATGAGAACAAATGGCATCCTCCCTTGTTAGGAGAATTTTTCCTTCTTGTTAACTACAGATTTGGTGTGAAAATGTAGCCTAGATAGAAACAACAATTTACCTAATCACCATTAATCACCATACTGCTCATTAAATTCGTGCAAATTGCAAGCTGCCTACCCTACTCTCCTCTTCCTTCACCCTTACTGCTGTAAAATTATAGAGCAGGAAAATTGCATCTGTGATGAGTCCGAGGTTTTCATCCTTGTAGAATTAGACTTCTGTGTCAGCTTTTTCCTACCTTGTCAGCTCTTTCACTCGACTGGAGGTAAGGCTGAGGAGATGAGGCGAAAAATTCTTTAGGCCTATTTCAGCCTAATAATGGGCTGCCGATTTCCCTGCAGCCACGAGGGAGGAGCTGTGTGGATGCATGCTATTTGTAGACCACAGCTGTTTGTCAAAGATATGATTATATAGAATGACACAGATACATCAGAGATTTTCATCTCAACTCTCCCAGCATGGCAACCAAAATGGTTCTGTTCAGTTTCATCCATCTTAGATCACACAAAGAGTGACGTGGAGTGGAAGAGGGAAGGAAGGAGTCAGATGAGGCAAACAGATTGTCAAAGCTTGCTTTCCAAGGAGAGGATAAGACAATCCCATGCAAGCATTATCTTTGTCGAGATATGTTCAAAGCGTCACAATCCCCCTGTGTTGAAGGCTGAATTCTGAAATAAGCAATATAATTCCGCAGCGATGTGTGTCGGACGGAAGAGGAAAATCTCTAAATCTGCAGTTTCATGCAGCTCCTCCCCACCTCTGATTTCTGCCGCTTGGCTTGCCAGATAAGAGTCCTAACTTCAAACGTGCAGTCAATGCTCATCCCGTTAAAGCAGAGATAGAGGACGAGGCTCTCTGAGCTAGGACATGTTTCTATGTGCTATGTATTCCTGCTGTGGAGATGGCGATAATGTGACATTGAGTATAAACTCACACACACGTACAGTTTCTTTACACCGAGCATGCAAAACACATACAGCATGTTCCATATGCACAGGCATATGATCTATTAATGTATCGCATCAGCCCTAATTCAGCAATTTCATCAAAGGCAAACATCTGCAGAAATGGGTTGCATTTCCATCCAAACTGTTTCAGATTCTCCTTAAACCTATTCTAAGTGTTTCATAATGAACATCCCAGGCGTGTCTGTCTGGAAAGCTGGTAATGGAATATTTATAGAATATTTCAGGGAATACTTTTGGGAAACTCTGGTTCTAATAAGCCTCTTTGTTCTACAGAGGCACAATTTCATCTTTCCTAAGTTGCATCTCTCCTTTTGTCTCTTTTTCTGTGTTTCACTCTCTCTGCTATTCTCTCTCTGGTTCTGTCGTTGTGTCTCATTGTAGATACAGTATCTCTCTCTGTGCCTTCATACCTTTCTCTCTGTCTACTTTTTCATCAACCTCAAAACCTGAGCTCAGTCAGAACCTCAATCTGAACCTCATACCTAATGCATTACAGTAGCCATCATATAACAGAAATCCCGCAGAACTCATCTATCCTGCAGGCTTTTCCTTGTTCATTGTAGCAGCATTGAACTGATTATGCATGCTGTAACTCAAAACTGTCTTTAATAACTGTTCCTCATATCATTCTCCGTGCCTTCTGACAGCTGGAAGCAGCTGGAAACTTCCAAATAACTGCCCTTGGGAATTGAACCTCATCCCCACAGCAGTTCACGCTTGCTTGCAGTGCATGCAGTGCAGTGCTGTCGGTGAGAGTTGCAAATTAGTTTTTTGTCTCTTAAACTAGCAGAATAAATGTTTAATGCTCACTATTGCAAGGTTGCATGTTCTTTCAGTAATGCACTGCAGGCTGATCCAACACAACACTGACACAATTTGAGCTCAGTTTCTCACATGAGCTGTAATCTGTACTCCACCCTGACATTTATAAAATGGCGGTTCAGCGTGTGTTTGATGTAAACATGTCCCAGAGCGCATTCCCTGTTAAATGTCGCAAGATGTTTTCGGATAAGCACAAACCACTTGCATGCTTTCAAATCCTCTCTGGACTTCTGTAGAAACCTTCAGGATATCAGGTGTTGAAGAGGTGTGTGTGTGTGTCTGTGTGTGCGTGTATGTGTTCGTGTGTAGGTGTGTCTGTGTGTGTGTGTGTGTGTGTTTGTGTGTGTGGGCCATAAGGGATGGCCCCAGTGGTTGACACTTGTCATTTCACGTGCCTCTGGAACCTGTATTATTAAAACCTTTAGCTACAGGTGTCACCAAATCAACCACATTTGAAAACTGAAGGATTAGAGGAAGCATCCAAAGAAGTGTCCTTTAAAAGTTTTACCTGCGTGTCTCTGTGTGTGTAGGAGAAGGGGGTTGATAACCTTGAGATCGAAGAGGCATTCTTTTGATTTACCCTGTTCTGTTAAAGAAACAGATTAGTGGAAAATATAACAGCCAGCTTTACTTGAATTTACTCAATGATTTACTCAAAGAGACAGATTGGAAAAGAGAGGCCGGGAAGCACTAGGGGTCGAGTGAGAGTGTGAAGAGCAAAGGGGAGAAAGAAAGGCAGACAATGTAGGAGAGAGAGTGACTTTTAGGCAGATAGAGAGGGAAGAGGAGAAGAAAGGGAAGATGTCCCGGAGGCAGAGCGAATAAATGAGTCATCGGACTGGATCTGCTATCAGGTCTATTCTAACAGCGCTACAAGTGAATGGATGCCTTAAAGGTTAGGCATAAAATGATTTCTCATTTTGCTGCGATATCCCCCAAGGTAGACATTAATGCTTTAGTTATGGACTCGACTGTAAAAGCTCCTGAGGCTGCACACGCTGCTTGTCGTCCATAAATATCATCACCTCTCTATATGCACATTGTGATTTCAATGAGGCTGCTTTTATGATGAGGAGCGTATTTTTGTGCAAATAGTCAGTAAAGTTGATGTGATGCTGTGTGTCATTTCTACAGCCAGGTAGTCACCCTGCCTGCAGAGCCAACTCCCCAGGTGCTGCGGATCACAGCTGAGACTGTAGTCCGCTCTGATCGTCCTGATTTCCGCGTGCACACACACACACACTGACCGACGAACACTTGCAAGCAAAGCCATGCATTCATACAAAGTAAAGCAGCCACACACACAAAACAACTTACATGTGTGCCAAGCTTCATTTCTGCTCTGCTGAGTTTGTTCGTGTCACAACTTTGCAGATGTTTCAGCCATGGGGACATGAACACTATTTGCACAAATTCTCTTCCCAGTCATTTGGTTGGAACAGTGGGTTTTGAAATGATAATGAATCTGTGGGCCAGGATCTCCCACATGGCACCATGTCTAGTGAGGAAATGAATAGAATAAGGCAGCCCTGGAAAGCAGCAGAATACGATTTATTTATTTTTTTTTTTATCAAATGTAAAAGTTAAATTCTGGCTGAACCAGATAGGCTCTCTGTGTTTCTAAGAAGAGATTAAATGTGAAAACATGAATTAATCTGAGATTATATTTGCATCGGCAGATTCAACTGATTTACAGTTTAAAGTCCTGCTGTACCAATCAATCTCTTGACTGCACATAATAAAAAGATAAAAAAAATACACTCTTAAATGTAGTGTTGACTCACAGTGACACAGCATTATATGATGCATGCTCGCACACTCCTACACATATGATCTCAGGAGTTGATTGCAGGTGTTAAGAACACCCCCATCTCCCACACACACACACACACACACACACGCACACACGCGCGCAAACACGCGCAAACACGCGCAAACACACTTTTACAGTGGGAGGAAAAGGGTTAAAAATCCCACAGTGTTGTGCACACTCAAAGAGGGAGAGGCAGTGTACAGGTCAGATTCCACAGTAATATAACTACACAGCAGGAAACATTGACCATCCAAACTCAGAGGGGGAACATAACAGTGGTGAATAGACTGTTGGAGATGATGAAGCCAGAGAGTGTGTTGCTGCATCCTCTGGGCACAGCAGCTGCCCCTGTGCCAGAGATGCTGTGTATCTTCGGGACGGGGGACTTAGGGCGCTCTCTGGGCCTGCGTTTGCTTCAGTCTGGCTACAGGGTGGTGTACGGCAGCCGCAGACCTCACAGCTGTGGCCCCTTGCCTCAGGGAGCTCAGGTACTGCACATGGCTTAACATAGCACTTTTAGTCTGTCAAAATGTACAAAAAAGGTGTGTGTGTGTGTGTGTGTGTGTGTGTGCAGCTCAAACATGTTTATGTCTCTCAATGTCCTGATGTATGTGTTGTGTACAGGTGATGAGCCACACAGCAGCAACCCAATCTGCCAGTCTGATCTTCATTTGTGTTCACAGAGAACACTACGCATTCCTGGAGACAATGGCTTCTCATCTTAAAGAAAAGGTGAATCAAGGTTTGATGTTAGAATCAATCAATCAACAATACGGTAATCCTAAGTAGTTACTAAAGGGAAATAATCAGGAAGTAATAATTAATTACAAATAGCAATTTAAAAAAGTAGTTCCTGTTGCTGAATCAAGGAATATCCTCAATGAACTGGAACATATTTCTTAGTTCCTCCAAATCAGGGAATCTACATGTTGGCAATCGACAAGTTGCACCCAGTAACCTCTGAAACAGGTGATAGGTGGGATGTAAAAATAAGTAACCAATGCTGTGTACAGCACATAGCAAGTACTATATTTGTGCCCCCGTGCTTAAACGGAAGGTCATTTAAGATACCTTTTTTCTGAGAAACAGCTCACAGTGATAGACTACTTCTTTTGAGGGGACACAAGATAGTAACTAATACGAACACAGTATAAGAGGCAGTGATACGTTTTTGGTGCTATGATCCGATATATTAGTATGAAGTGAGTCAGTGGTCCTTAAAACATTGACTTTTGAGTAGTTCCACCGAAGAATAACAATTTTCCCACAGACTGTTTCATATGAACACTTTTTAGAGGCATGAAGAGGTTCAAGTGTCCAGGTTTCAACAAGAAACCAGCAATGACTAGTCAGAAAAATGTAGTGGGCGTATGTTTTCCCTCTAAATCATTTTGAGACCCCTCAAGATGGTCTTGTGATCCCTCGGAGGGGGATGAAGTAAATGATGAGCGTTCAGATTCACAGAAACTAACATTGTATTTGTTCTCAAGTAATTCACCATTAGCCACAATATAATCCATGATTCAGAGTTAGTGAAACATATTAGCTATTAATGCCCATTTCATTCACAATTTATTCTTTACATATATCTCAGCAACTGTTCTCGACTTTGTGTACAGTGTTGTAACATACATTAGCCTCTAAGTGTTAGGGCCGTTACTCTTTGATCATCATACCATTTGTGAACTGATTTCCCTGTAGCACAAGCTTTTTATTATTTTTACTTCAGTTGTGCTACTGGGTTCACTTCTCATTATGATACCCAATATATCGTGTAGGCAGAATGAAGAGGTCAAGGGCAAAGAATGTAGCTCAAGCAACATCTTTTTCAGCACTACAAAACTTTATAAGTAGCCATATCACAGCCACATATACACATGATAATTTCAAGAGAGAGGCACCTCACATGCCACATGTGCAAGGTACAGTGAGTAGGGTGGCCGTGCTACTGCTATTTATAAGCACACCTTGTCAACTGATACCAATGCCAATATCAACATTGTCTGTCAATTGCATGATAATCATACAAGCTATTCAAATTGATGTTTTCATTTTAAACATAAATGTGGAAACAAAAAATGAGTGATGGCCTGCCATGCATAAACATACCTGTTCTCTTGCATAAAATAATGGACAGACTCATGTTTGGGGAAAAAAACAAAATTATTATTTTTTTTTTAATTGTCTAATCAACCAAAAATTTCGCGGACCGCCTGTTGAAGACCTCTGCTGTAAAGCAATACCGCTGACACGACTTAATCAGCATTTTTTTCTTTTTGTAATCAGCTCAGCTCTGTTCACACCTTTATCATACTTGCTGGATAGCTCAACATGCTCCCTTTATTGTAATAGGAATATGTATGAGACAAGATAAGAGTTAATTGAATTGATTGAAAAAAAATGTCTTTTGTCTTCTGTACTCTGTTGATGCTGATGGGTTGATTACAAGGTGCTGGTGGACCTCAGTAACAACCTGAAGAAAAACTTGTACCCAGAAGCCAATGCCGCCTACCTGCAGAGGTAACAGACTCCTGTGAAAGCGAAGAAAAGAAACAAAGGATGTCTCAATGCTAAAGACACTGTGCATGTAAAAGCTTCCATCCTCATGAAAATAATGTTTTATAAATGGAGCTAACTTTTCTGCAGATAAATATAGGTTTAATGTCAACAATCATTTTGCAACAGTAGGTTCCACTTTTCTTTCAAATATTGGCAGTCCTTTTTGGGAAAGTGCTCCTAAAAACCACTTAGAGCATGAGACATCAAAACTCTCAACTGAATCCAAAAGAAATGAAGAGAAATGAAGAGAAATTGCGGGGTCGCAGCTCCCTTGGCAGGACGGCCTGCTGTGTGTCTATTCATTTGAAGTGGAAACATTGATTCTCACCATTTTCAGGCCCTTCTTTTCCTGTTTGTGTATTTGTAGATAGAAACAATAGCAGCTAAAGTCCTTGCTGTGTGTTCCACAGACTGGTCCCTGGAGCTGCTGTGGTGAAAGGGCTTAACACGCTGTCTGCCTGGGCCTTGCAGAATGGACTTCTGGCAGGAAAACAGGTGAGAGAGGAGGGGAAGTGAGGAATCTGTTTAAAGACAGCAGTGGAATCAGGGCGAAAAAGCCAGGACACTCCCGAGCCTTAAGGAAGGCTTTGGTTGACTAAAGATACAAAGAGCAGTTACAGAGATTACCAACTTGATCTTTTTATGATGCGATGCATGTTTAACTTCTCACCTGGCAACAATAACTATTTTCAACATTTCCTGGAACACATCAGAAATATCTTAGGAGGTGAATGCTTTACCAAAAAACACACAAAATTTAGGAGGGGAATTGATTTCATTTTTGTTGATGCAGATGATTGATTTTGCCGTCTTTCCAGAACAATGCAAGAGAAAATGAGGACAGTGCTTGTATGAACACACAAACAAACAAACAAACAAACACACTTAATGATGTTACAGAGTAGAAAGACCATTGTTTATAGCAGCTTCCATTTCACAGCTACAAAGAGAAACACAAACATGCTGAAACCTCTGGAGACCAAACCTGAATCTGCCTTGAATCCTCTTCAACACACAAACAAACAAACACACACACACACACACACACACACACACACACACACACACACACACCACTGCAGTGCTCTATTTTCTTTGAAAACAGGTAGCTGTGAGAGAACAGGAGTGACTGAATGTCTGTCTTTATCAGTGCATGTGTAGGTGCAATGTATATCCACACACACATGCTTGTAAGTGTGCGCTATTTGTTGTCCAGCAATTTGATTAGATCCACAGCGGGGCTGTGCCTCTGTCACATTTACATTCAGATGAAGATTTAGTCTGTCGGCCATCCCCTGCTGTTACTGGTGCAGTAATGTAGGGAGACATGGCTGGCTGCCCGGTCCACTTATACACACACCTGGGGGAAGACTGCTCAATCCCACTGACTCCACTATATGCCTGTCAAACTGCTCTCTCTCTCCCTCTCTCTCCCTCTCTCCCTTTGTAGAATACGCCCCCCCCCCCCCCACACTTTACGAACAAGTTAATCGTCTTATCACAGAGCTGTGAGTGTGGTAATAACCTTCAGCATGGTGAAGATCTAGAAATAGGATTACATATTGAGCAGTGTATATATATATATATATATATATATATATATATATATATATATAGTATGCATGTGTCTTTGCATAGTCATACACTTGCAGGGGCTTCATCTCAAAATGACTGAAACAGCACAGCGGAGATCAACAAAAGAAGGTTAATTACAGACACTGTAGATACACGGTGCAGTCATGCGCTATATACTCCAAACAGGGCTGGTGAGTCACCTAACAATAATCTTAGAGTGATTATTAGCAACTAAAAAACAAAAGCTGAGCAGAATGCAGCAAGACAATAATATTTCTATTTTTGTTGTTATTCTGAGGCATTAGTTGTTGTGTGGGTGAGGGGGGACGTATTAAGGGAAAGCGATATACTGTATACTGTATATATATATATAGTAAATCACCAACCTTTTTCTTTAAACAGCCGCAGCACATTTTGAGATTTACCCACACCTCCATGCTACAGGTGTACCTGTGTGGGAACAGTGCAGAAGCAAAGCAGGCAGTAGCAGAGATGTCCACTAAGCTCGGCCTCACTGTTCTGGATAAAGGGTCTCTGTCAGCAGCCAGAGAGCTGGAGGACTTCCCCCTGCAGCTTTTCCCAGAGTGGAGGCTCCCGCTACATGTGGCCGTTGGCCTCATCGCCTTCTTCTTCTTCTATCTGCTCATTAGAGATGTCATCTACGCTTATGTTGAACAGGGGAAAGACATCTCCTATAGAATTACAGTGGCCCTGGGCAATAAGGTAAAGATTTGCCCCCGTCTGGTTAAATGTTCTGTAGATGGTATTTTGTGTTCCCCTTTAAAGGATGTGTTCTGTTCATTCGTCATCTTTCAGGTGTTTCCTATTGTGTCTCTCATCATGTTGTCTCTGTGTTACCTGCCTGGTGTCATAGCTGCCTTCCTTCAGCTCTACAGAGGTACCAAGTACAGGTCAGACATCAAACCATCACAAAAATCTCCACTACCTGTGCAATTTATTGTAAAAAAAAAAAGGTGTTTAATTTTTTAAGGCTTAGCTCAGTTTTGCATGTTCCAGACGCTTCCCTGATTGGCTGGACTGCTGGATGCTGTGTAGGAAGCAGATGGGTCTGATTGCACTGGCCCTTGCTTTTCTCCATGCCATCTATACATTTGTCACTCCTACTCGCTATTCTGTCAGACACAAACTCATCTCGCTTGTGGTGGATGAGGTACGGGGCATGCTGGGTCAAACCTCGTAGTGTTTCTACAATCCTGAACATAGAGAAGTATAACATGAAGCTAACCTTACTTACAGTACTGTCTCTCTGTCTCCCTCAGATGAAGAACAATAAAACCACCCCGTTTTACTTTGATAACACGGAGGCATGGGGCCAAGACTCATTCTATGTGCTGGGAATCCTGGGCTTCTTTCTTTATGTCCTGCTAGGACTAACATCCCTGCCCTCGGTGGGAGGCTCTCTCAGCTGGAGAGAGTTCAACTTCATTCAGGTCAGTTGGAAACATACAGTCCTTTATGTGCATGTGATTGTGTTGGAGTCTGGGTGGGTGTGCTTGCGTTCACCTTAAGACCTCAGATGTTATGTCAGTCATGTGCTTACTACCAGTAAAAAACTTATTTCAGGGCTGTGATAATCTATATTTGGAGTTTCCAAGATTTCACCAGAGTTATTAAAGTGTTGTATAAGCAATATGTCACTGGCAGTCTTATCCCCGAAGGCTAGTTAACTAACTGCCTAACACAGGCTGACTTTAGCCCAGGATCTTAAATGTTAAGTTATTCATTAAATAGAATTATGATACCTGGTATAATCCTCAGGGAGGAGATTGTTAATACAGGTCACAGGTCCATTTGTGTAAAGGTCAGGTCCATAGATAGACCTCAGATAGGGAATACGACTCAGAGGTCTAGGTCAAGATGATTCTTATGATCTGGTGAGAGAAATTGTGAAAAACATTTAATAACTGGTATCAATTTACATAAAATGTTTTTCTTTTCAGGGGTTGTCAACCAAGGAATGTAAATTAATGAATGTCAATGCTCACAGCAGAGGGATTTGCTGTTGTAAATGGGTTGGACAAGATGCTCGATTATTATTATAGGGGCACCGTTCATTACTGCACTTCATTAATATGAACGTTTCCTTATTGTGCTGTTTACTCCAAGTCACTGTGGATGAGAACATCAACAGCCAAATGCTAAACATGTAAATGAAAGCACATTATCCAAGTAATTAACAATAACGGAGCCTCAAAGGCCACTAGTGCTACAAAACCAATTACTCTGGATTTATATTAAATTCATATTTTTCAGAAACATACCACAGAAATGTTGGTGTGTGTGACAGGTTCATATTCATAAAATCAGCTGTACTGTTGTTTCAATTGAACCAAAACAAATTTAATTTTGAACATTTTTTTTTTATCATGCAATGTGTGTTATTTGTCTATAAAATGCTTAGAGGAATAGTGTAATCTTTCAGAAAAAAATGCTCATTTACTAATTTGCCAAGAGTTATATGTGTGTCCGCTAAATATGAATAACACCAGCAGTCGGTTAGTTTAGCTTAGCGTAAAGACTAACCCACTAGCTAACTTGGATCTGTGCAACAGTCACATATTCCTTCCACAAGCGTCTCTAAAGCTCATGGTGTATCTCACTTGTCTGTAGCAAAACCAAAGAGTATGAGGTTATGTGCTGGAATATCTCTTCTCCGAGCGTGGTAACCTTCTGAGATAAAACGCATAATTTAGTGAGCTTTAGAGGTGCTGGTAAGTTGATTTTGTTAGCTTTGGAGAGAGACAGGCATCTGTTTCCTTTGTGCTAACCTAAGCCAACCAGCTGCTGGCCATGACTATATATTTGCTGTGCAGACATGAGAGCGGTAACTGAATAAGCGTGTTTCCTAAAATATCTCACTACTCTTTTAACATTTCCATTCCATGTGATTTTTTTCCCAGTCTAAGCTGGGCCACCTGACCCTGATCATATGCACAACGCATGGCTACATTTACGGCTGGAACAAATTCCTTCAACCCTCTACCTACAAATGGTACACTCCTCCTGGCTACATGCTCTGTCTGATTGTGCCTTCTGTGGTGCTGGTGCTGAAGGCACTGGTCCTCCTCCCCTGCGTGGATCGAACCCTAACCCGCATTCGACAAGGCTGGGAGAGGACACAGCCGGACGAGGAGATGGTTAAGGCCACCAACCTGTGAACTCTGACCTCTGAAGTCATCTGAGATGCTGGTTATTGAACGTCTATGTCAGTTGTTATTTGAGGTTAAAATAAGTCCTAAACTGGTCATAACTACAGTATACATTTCAAATAGTATAAGAATACTGATGATCATATATTAAAAAAAAAACTTCACAACTTAACTTAATCATTTTCTCAAATGTACTGTTTGGGTGGGGGAAGTCTCTTATTATTCAGGTTGGTATGTGGAATGAGTAATAGCAAAACATATCCAAAGATAATTTCTTCCATGCTGGTGCATGATTGTGTCCTTTGATCAGTCGGTAATGCCTCCTCTCAATTGTTCAAAAGCCAAACAAAACAAAAAAGTATAGTGTATTTCAGCCAAATGAACAGGGTTCTCTGGATTTAAATGTTTTTAATGTCTATTTTCTTTGAGCTTTGAAAAAAAACAACTGATTTCATGTTTGTGCTGTATCTTTATCACAGAATGTGGAGAAAAATAGATTGATATCCCCCGCTGACCCATTGTTTTGATAAACGTAGGCAACAGTTTCTGCTTTCCTCTCTCCCCTCCCTTCAAGTTGTGCGATATCCCTGAGGTTGCTTTCTTTTCAGGATGTTATTGATCTCCCTGTTTTCTAACACAAATACCTTGCTTCCCAAACCTGCTTTCCTCTTAAGGGCATGCAAGTGTGCACAATTACACACTATGCTTGCACATATACACTGTGAAGGAGAGTAAGGTTAAGCTAATTATATTACCACATGCAGACTCAACACACACGCGCACACAGATGTACCCATACAAGTGCCAACACCACAGTGGATAACAGATTTGGAAGCCAAAAGCAGACTCAGGAGGAAGAACATGTGTCTGTTACAGATCTAAAACAGGGTAACAGAGGGCTAAAGCAGGTAGATCATCAGGCCATGTACAAGGAGGCAGAGCAGAATGTAGGTTGCATAACATAGACAGTTTGTCAATGGCAGGTGACTTGATCAGCAGATGAGCGGAGGTGGCAAAGTCAATAGTGTCGGCTGGTGGTGCGGAATGGCAGGTGTGGAACAACAAGATATGTTAGTATGTACAACACTAATCAGATGATCCAAAGTCAGTGGAGGGAAGAGAGGAGGATGGAGCAGCTGTCTCCATGACAGTCTTGTGCTACAAGAGAAATATTCGGTGCCTTTTTTGCCCAAAGCAGAACATTTAGTCAGAGGCATCCTGTTATCTAGCATCTAACAGCATTATCTGCAAACACAATCTGCCATCCCTTACACATTCTCACACTTTATTGTTCTCCTATTACAAGAGAACTGCTGTTGGTTTTAGCTGATATCCTGCTGTTTGTCACTTTGTCAAGCCCCTCGGCGTCTGATACCATCGCACAAGGCACCCTTTATGAGACACATCGGGCTTTCACGTAGGTACAATGTAAATCCATCCGTCTCATTATTAGACGCTCAGAGAAAATGCTCAGGGAGTCTGATGACGTAGTACGCTCTCATACGGCGGTTAAAGCTGATAATGCTGTCCTGACCAACAGCGTCATTGCCGAAGTTTAGCACCCACCCTCTGGTTCCTCTGTCAGTTTCTCTGTCAGCACTTTCGGCGTTGTTAGCACTGTCTGCTGTAAGCCTCCATCTCACCCTTGCCATGTTGAGAGCTGTTGAGAGGCGAAACGGCAAGAATGTGTTAGAAACCTATGTTGCCATCCTTGAGGTTCAATTCTACAAAGGCAAAAATAAACTGCTGAAATTGTGGGTGAAGACACACACCATGGAAAATTCACCCAGGATTAATCTGTGACATGTACACTTGGATGTTAAATTAAAGGGATATAATAAAATGTGCTATGCCAAAGGTTGCACATAGCTTGAGTAACAACATGATCTTGACATTAAATTACTTGGAACTTGCTGTAAAGTTGTGTTTTTTTGTGTGAAGTTGTAAAAATGATCTTTAAAAAATTCTGACAAATCAAGATATATGTTAATCATGCCCAGGTCTTTTGCTTAGTTGTATGAAATTGCATATCTTGATTACTATCTTACATTATATCAATACAACTTTTTGTGAAGCTGTTAACATATCTCAATAGATTTGGTTTTGTCTTGTCACAGTGGTGTTCAGAAAGATCCATGGCTGTGTAGACATTCAACACCTAAAAAAGTGTCTGTTACTTATGAACAGTCATAAAACCTAAATACACAGTTTTAAAAAGGAAGAATTGTTATACTCTTTCCCCAAATCTATTTATTCCATTGTTAAAACAATTTTTAATACATTGTTTGCCTTCTGTGAACTCTGAATTGTGAGTTCTCCATGTTCAAAGAAAATGTGAGACATGTTAACTGAAATAGATTAAATAAAGGTCTTAACCTCTTTGGCAAATCTTACTGGTTTTCACTACAGATAAGAAGGCCCAACTCTGAAACACCTCAGGATTGCATTGAAGACTGTATAACTCAGCACAGCATGGGGCACATGCACCGTGGACCAGGACATCAACGGGGCAAATGGCATCCCGAGTGAGTGTCCCTCATGATCCGGTGAATTAAACTTTTACAATATTGCAAACCCTCAATCTCTCAGTCTGTTGAGGTAAAAGTTGCCCTCCATTACATCAGCGAGCAGCTAGCATACCACAAGAGTCTTTTTCTGAGTTCTCACACAGCACATAATGCTTAATTGATTCAGCAGGAATGTCAAAGAGAGGCGTTTAAGGTGAGTCGTGTTACTGCTTCAGCTCCTATCCTGCAGCCTAATTTATTGTGGAAGTCCCTGGATGTTTGCAAGACACCTGCAGCATCACTAGTGCCATATAATTTGAGCAATGCAATTCATTCAGAGAAGAAAATGTGGTCAAGCAAATGAGGACATTATGAAGAAAGACTGGTTCATCTTGCTAATAAATAGAACAATAAATCACACATCTTGATGACTGATAAGACACCACCTACCCAGTTAATCAAACCTGCAGACATGGGCTTACTTGTATCTTGTTCCACACTTCACAGCAGCATGCAGTGAGAAAGCAGAACAGATCAGCTCAAAACACATTCAGTAATAGAGCTCTCTTAAAGAGCTTATGGTTGTTGTAGATTCTATGTCTGATATATTATTCACATTTTATTTGCTGTGTTGAGTGTTGAGTTTTGCTAAGTGTACATCAGTAGTTCAGCTACAGCAAGTTTATGGTCTCAGTTATACTGAGCATTCATGAAAGAGACCCTTTGATATATAAAACATGTTTAGGAGAAAGAACGACAATGAGTTGGAATTATGAAATGTAAATATACAGTAGTCACAAGCCACTACTCTTAAGATCCAGGCACTGACTTCACTCCTCACATCGGTTCTGATACAAACCATTAAATCATAAAGCATCAACTGACAAAGATACAAATTTGTAGAAAATGTAATTCCATTTTCAAAATGTTATATCATTCATGCATGTAAAATAAGTACCCCACCCCTATCCCCGGGGGAAATGATTCCCTTTGCAGATGCTGATGCAGCAACCCAAGCAGTATCGTGTCTTCACGGGCTGACATCGTTATTGCCCATAGGACAAAGAAGACAGACATAACCTAGTAAGTCAAGCTGTTGT